GGGGAGGACATCCATCACACAGTAATCTCGTGCGTGGGAAATTATCGTCTCCTACCCCCAACCCTGCAGGAGACGGGACCTCCATTTTTTCGTCCCTATCCGAGAAGACTAGAATATCTAACCATTTCTAGATATTATAGAAAGGTAGCAAATTCTTCTCAATTATTTTAAGACATCGAGTGTTGGTCCGGCCGGGGCTCAAACCCTCGACCTCCCGCACAACAGTCCAGCGCACTATCCATTGGGCTAACTGGGCGGCGGTGATATGGTAAATGAATAGCCAATGATATGATCCAAGTGGCAAAGAGGAGGATCCAGCACAGCTTTGAACTGATAAATGGAGATCGAAGCGGAAAAACGACAGTTCCAAATCGATCCACTGCTATTAGAACCAGGCTTTGAATTTACACAACGGTAGAGACATCTGCTGAGAAGGGAGCGAGCTTACAAAAAGCCTCGCCAAGACCACCTTTGGTTAAACTAGAATGGAGATGAACTTCGGCTAAATTCTTCGGAAACAGTAATATCGGATAAAGTAGATCGGACGCGGCCGTTTTTACGATTAAGATGTATATGGGATTTCTCATGGTTTTCTTTTTGTGCACAATTATCACAATTAGGGTATTTCCAACCTATGAAATAACAAACAAGAGGCAGTAAGCGATTGTTTCTCCGATTCTACGTGACGCAGGATTGACGCAAAGTAGCAGGAGCATCATGACTGGGTGTGTTCCATTGACCGATGTGCTGTCGTTTACTGGCATTTCTCTGATACTGGCATTTACTTATTTGGCGAGCAGTCCTCACAAATTTAATCTTACCAGACCTGATGTCTTGAGGGAAAACACCAACTTTTATATGTTTTTTTTTATCCGTGATCTTAATGTAATGAAGTTAATACAAATTTCAAGGAAGCACAAACAAACAAAGTATATGTCACGCGAAAGGATTCAATTTAGGAAGTTACTCATTCACTGTTCATCAATTTCTGTTAAAGATGTCTACATCTGGTTAAAACTATGAAAAAAAAAGACTTTAGATGCATGGTAGAGCCTAATGTAGGGTAGAGAGTTTTTCAAAATCTCTCTTGCCATATTCAAATTTAACACAAGCGGAAAATTTGCCCAAAAATTTTTGAAACATTCATCTCTCATGTCAAGCAAGTTTTAAATGACTGATTATTACATAACATCTGTTTAGACGGAACTATACGATGCGGAGCCCTGCCGTTTCTTTACCATGCGTTCAGTTGATAAATACATGGTGATGGTTGCTGCAGAGCGAAAGATCCTTGGCACAGAACGCAACTTAGAGCTTGGGTTGGGTTGCGAGTGACAAATTTTCAAACGTATGTTTTCTTTACTCTCTTGTGAAAGACCTTTTCTAAGGACTTTTTGAGATCTTTTCGATGGTCTCTGAAAGGGTTTAAAGGTGAGTTAGCAAGACCAAAAGCAGCATGTGCAAAGTATTGAAAACCGCAACACTTGATTAGAAAGGTGCTCAGAGGAAAAAAGTCCAATAAATTGAACGCTAGTACAATAGCAATGGGCATCTTCAGCACTTTCCGCTTCATTTTAACTAGTGATTTTTACGGTCTTCACTGACTGCTCGCCTGAAACAATCTGGGTCGCAGAAACCTGAAAATTACCTAGTTGCTCGTCATCAAATTTCAACTTAGTCGAATTCATAAGAGAATTTCTCCTTTTGATTATTGCGTGTCAAGGAAAATATTTCGCTATGAACATATATTTGCAAATTATAAAGGCTTGTCAACGGTGTTTGTCGAGTGAAGGTTGTCAGAGCCGAATTTCATTTACTTACACGTTCTTCATGACTTCCTCGACAAGTTTTTACCACGAAGTGTGCCCCATTTAATCAAACAGCTGGAATTTTGACGAGGACTTGGCAAAGAAATGCTTTTTCATTATCAATGCCAGGAAAAACCAGGGATTTTATCTATATGTTAAAAAAGGCTGTGACATAATAAAGCGAATGGAGGAGATCGAAATGGCGGCGAAAAGAACGCCAGAGACAAGGAAAACTTTTTGAGCGGCTGGTGGCCTCGAATGCTGTCAATTGTTTAAAAAAAAAATAGCACACTAAGAATAAATGTTTTTTGTTTTTTTTTTCTCATCGGACAAAATTTCACGGAAGAAAAAGACGCGGTTTGTCCGAATTCAAAGGACAGATTTCGTCCCCTCGAAGAAGCACGTTAGCTATGCTCAGCGCATTTCGACGACAAACGCTACCAAATGATCAACTTTAAAAATTAACCGCAATAAAAGTAATTGCGAGTAAAAGAACTCTGATCAACTCTGATCGTAGCTACCGTTCCCCATCACTAGCTGAGTATTTCTCGAACTTTTCTCTCTGTAATAACTCTGAGTGCAGTTATTCGAACCTCTAAAGAAAGAATTGGCTGATCAATCAATGCGGAATGGTTTAATGAGTTATTCCTTACAAGAAAACTTTGGCAGACGATTTTATAAATTGATTGTTGGTAGACGGAGATTTCCCCTTTCCCTTCCGCCTTTCTCTTCCATTGCAACCTGGTTTCTAGTTGTGATAGTTTTCCATATATTTTACACTGTTTAAACTTCCTATGTACACGGTGGAGTGCAGTGAGGATTTAGCTTGGAAAAGACAAATGTTATTATAATAGTGTATTTTTCTTTTGAGAAAAATGGGAAGAAAGGCGCCAAAAGAAATTGAAAAAAGGCGGGAAATATTACTGATAAATCACCGAAATTTAGGACTACTGGAAAAAAATTGGAAATCAACACAATTAAGTATTTATGGTGCTTCAACTTTTTTCTTTTAATTTAAGTTGATATCTTGAAAAATGATAGAGTAAAATAAGAAGACATTTCTTCAAGTTGACTTTAGTTTAGATACTGTGTTGGGTCTCTCTAAGCAGTTCTAATGAATTATGTCATTGTGAAACAGCTCCTCTACCAACTACATGTTTACTTTGTAGCAGCATCTTCTAACGGCTGTGTCAGTCTGAAGTAGAAATCTGTTCTCTCCTGCACGTGAAGCTTCGGTTGGCCGTTCTCGTCGAACTTTAGGACCCGTGGTTTGTCACTCAGGTATGACTTCAGAAAAAACTCCGGGGCTCGCTCAAACCGAGGCATCTTGTAGAAGAGAACCTCAGGATGTTGTTTGCTGACATTTAGCAAGTTAATGAGCTCGCTTGGAGGCGGGTCAATCTCCTACAGATGAATATAAACACCGAAAAAATATTCAAAATGTACCAAATCAAGCGTGCGAAAGTAGATGCAGTTTGTGTGAACCTACCCAGGAAATCACCTTGCCTAAATCGCTTTAGTTGTATAGGATTTACCGTCCCAGTAGTATCCCGTAAAATAAATCTAACTCGTGTGAAAATGCTCAGACAATCATTTTTATGCAAGCTGTACACTAAAAAAAGCAAACAACACCTTGAGATGAATTTTCTGTATCAAACTATTCAGGGGTTTTCTTTTGAAAATGCACGCGTAATTCAGCCTATCATATGAAATTATCCTAACTACTGACGCGTGATTTTTTTATTTTTACTCTTCTATTGATTGAAAGATGTTGAAAGCTTTTTCTTGAAAGTAGAATTGAACGGATTCACCTCATGAAAATTGAAATGGCGAAAGTTACGTACCTTCATTACGATAGTGTCTTGTTCGTTATCAAAATGGCGAAAAGTACGTATCTTCATAAAGACAGTGTTTTGTTCTTTGTCAAGATGGTGAAACGTACATACCTTCATAACCAAAGTGTTCTGTTCTTTATCTATGGCCAAGATTTTCCCTGTGCTTGCGTGTTCCAAGATGATAACATGAAAAGCGACATCTTTCATTGGATCATAATCAAGGATATCGTGGACTTTAAAATTAGCTGTCAAAAAAAAAAAAAAGTGAGCATGTAAAGATGAAACAATTTTTTAGTGTAATAGAAAAAATCCGAGCCCCAGATAGGACTTGGACCCACGACGCTCCGTGATCTAGTCGGATGCTCTAACCACTGAGCTACTGGAGACTCTATGCTGAGCAAGGATCAATTTGTGGGCCTCGACTGGAACCGCATCGCGCGGCTACACAGCCGAGTATTGGTAAGTACCTGTGAAAACTATAAAAAAAAAAAACAAGTCACAAATACACAACCAGTGAAAAACCTGTGAAAACTGTAAAAAAAAAATAAAAAAAAAAAGACAAGTCACAAATAAGACAGAGAGAAATTCAGAAACAGTGTTATTCCACAATTACGCCATTTTACCATATCAGGGTAACGGATCGCCCCAAAATGAGCGACGGTATTATACTCGAGAATACGCATGGAAAGCAGATGAATCTTACCCACGGCTAAAGTTTTGATTTAATGTAGATTTACCTTTAATCAATGGAAATAAATATGATATCATACCAACATACTATTTAAGGCATACTCTGCCTTGAACACCTAGGTGACAGTAATATGGTGCTGATAATGACAATTTCTACTTACCCTTTTCATCGGAGACATCCACACCTGACAGCAGTTTGTTGTCGTCAATGTACATATAGTGCTCGCCGGAAGTGACTTTCAACAACCTAAACTTTTGGATGTGAGTTTTCCATCGTCGCCGTTGAGTTGGATCCGTCTTAACCTTGGGGGGAGGGGGGGTCTCCTAAAAAGTAAATTGTAACCTTGATCAAGACTTTTGTGTGGTAGGGTGAGTGCAAGATGCAATTAGAAACACAGATGTTAGGGCAGGCGAGGCAAACTCAAAACCTTGAGGAAACTGTCATCTTCAATCATACATTGAGCTAAAAGGTTTCTTGCTATGGATCAAGATTTCGCTTGGCTAATTGCTGCGATTATGTTTTTTGAAGGTCTTTTAGCCTGCAGGTTTTTTTTTTCTCGTCCACAGTTACTATGGCAAAGTTTTAAGTCCCACAAATTTTTGCCTCGTCCCTTTTACCGTCGAAATTTATTTACAACTCACCCAACACGTTCACAACCTGTCGGTTTCCAACGATCGAGTTTAACATTACAAAAGGACTCTTCTGGGTTCATCAATTCAAAAAAGCAGCTCTCCGATTCCCAGACAGATATGCAAATTAGGCGTGCTTTATCTTTTCGGTTTGCATCAAAGGCTTTGAAATTTCGAATCCGTGTTTAAGTCATGAAAAATATTGAACTTTACTGCGCTGAGGAATCTCAGGAAACGAAGAAGTCAACCAATGAACCTCGAAGGCCTGATTTGAATTTAATTTTACTTATAAGCTGCGTGGAATTTGGGGAATGCAGAAGATAAATACACAGAGAATTTCTTTTCCGTTTTTATCCTCTGTTCCAATTCGATCCTGGTTCTGTACAAGTGTAATTTGGAACAAGACTCAAATTTAAGAGGATAAGTCAAGCCCTAAACTACTTGTTCTTCATAACTCCTTAATTGCTAGGACTTTGATCGGCGATTCTTAAAACACGATGACCCGGAGACAGTAATAAATTATATTTAAAATTTAGAGGCCTGTTTACATATGTGTTATTCGAATTTTGCTCTAGTTTATATATACAATCAGGAATGGAATTTTTGACATAGACTTGCTTCTTACCTCTGTCAAGCAGTCCAAAGATCTGTCCTCAATCGGCATCGCTGTAAATAATCAATTTGCCACAAATGTGTACTTCTCGAACTTCTCCCAAAGACTGCTCCACGATAAAGTGATGTCTATAAAGGCGAAATGTCTCTATTTGTACTCGCCATCGAAAAACGAAATCAACGCATTTGCTATAAGCGTCTGTATGACCGACAGACCGAACGAAAACAAAACATTTACATCATTGTTAGTTTAGTACTTGTGACGGCTTTTTTTAATCCTTTCATTCTCGAGTATGACAAGTGAGTAGCTACTCCTTGAGAATTTCAAAGATCGATTCATTAGGGACCTTAAGAAACCACGACGGCGACGGCGACGAGGACGTGGAAAAACAAGAGATCTAATTGGCAGAACAATAGCTCAGCACGTCCGTTTTGAAACTTTGTACATTTCTTAGCTGTCCTATGCAAAACAATAACGTGAAATCGCCAAAATTTGCGTCGTCTGCGAACCGAAACCGCGACGGCAAATTATTTTAATTTCCATTTGGAACTCAACGGCT